TATGTCATAGCTGCACATCCTTTTAGTTGCTGTAAGTGGGACACGGCCTCAGCATGGCCGGAGAAGTGGTGCGTCGGTGCGCACCTGGGATCCGAACCCGGGCCGCCAGCAGCGGAGCATGCGCACTTAACCGCTAAGCCACGGGGCCGGCCCAGGAATACAGGTTTCTGACAAACTTTCAGATTATAAAACTGAACTGGACAAGAAATTACAGAACTCTGACAGAGAAACCGATGGCCCCATAAAACTGCTAACAGAAGATTAAGATCAAGAATCAATTACACAGGACTGAATGAACTGATGAGGATGATTTTTACAATTTTTATGACTTGTTTGAAATATTGCTGATTTTTAAAAAATGTTTTGTTTTCAGATTTAAGGAAAACTTTTCCTCTTTTCTCTTAAGCTAACTATGACTTATAACAATTTGGTAAATTATACTGTTGTAAGCAGAATTGAAACATTTATCTTTTTCTCTCTACCTGATCCCTCCAGGATTTGGAAACTCTTAGTGAGTATTGTTTTCATGGCAATATAGTTATTTGCATAAGTCCACTAAGAATCTGTACTTGTTTTAACAGGACACAGTTAGAAACATTGGTTACATTACAAAGGCTTTGAGTGGAAATATCATATTTGAGAAAAACATACTCAGATATGACAAGACTCAGAGATCCCTTAAAGATCAAGTTGTGGGATGGGGACAAGGGGATGAGACGGGTAAGGATTGTGATACACTGCAGAGATATCTATATTGCCTTTTAAAGGGGATGGCCACTATTCCACTTCAGCCAAAGTATTCCTATATAGGAACACAGGCCCAGTGATGTTTTTGATTTTTAAGACAGGTCAGAAAGTTCACATTAATGTAAACTCTCTAGTTTTCTTTTTTTTAAATACTGGCATGTAATTCAAATTTTTTTAAAAAGGGCACACCAAATAAAACATCTGCTAAAAGGTGTAAGTCACCAATTTGCAATCTATGCCTTAAATGGCTCAAAGGAAGGGAGAAGCTGCAAATATAGTTCCCTTGCTGGAAGCATCAAAGACTTGGTGAGAGTGGAAAGTAACGCTTCTGGTTTCATCACTTGGTTCTTAGTTTTCTCTGTGCTGAGAAAATGATAATAGACAAAATAGAGAAGATAAATTAGATACTGCTCTTCAAAGACAATGCCAAACATAGAAAGCAAAGGCCTTGAATACCATTTAACTCTCTGGATCCAAAGTGTTGTATAATACAGAATTTGACTTGTCTTTGCATCTGGTTATCATATTAATATCATGAGAAAGAGCATCTAAACCCTTGGGATTTCCCCAGTGGTAGAAATGTCTTGTTATTCATGGTGTGCCCTGGTAGTTTGTGCTGAAGAGGTGACTCACCGTGGGCTCCCAGATCGCTTCTGCTAAAGAAATAACTCAGGATGGGGACAGGCGATGGAGGAAAGACCAACCACGTGATCAGAGGGTTGGCTTCGAACCACTTAAGATTAACTCAACCTCTGGGGAGGGCAGGAGGGCTGGAGATTGAGTTCAATCATGTGGTCAATGATACACTCAATCATGGCGAGGTAATGCAATCCCAATAAAAACTCTGGAGCTTCCTGGTTGATGAACACACCAGTGTGCTAGGAGGGTAAGGTGTCCTGAATCCAGTGGCAGAGGGTGTGAAAGCTCTGTGTTTGAAACTCTCATAGACTTCACCCTATATGTCTCTTCATTTGGCTAGTCCTGATTTGTATCCTTTATAATTAAATTGTAATCATAAGTACAGTGTTTTCCTGAGTTCTATGAGTCGTTCTAGCTAATTATTGAACCCAAGGGGGGTCGTGGGAACCCCCATATTTGTATCTAGCTGGTCAGAAGTGTGGGTGTTCCAGGACCCCCAAACTTGCAACCAGAGTTTGAAGTGAGGACAGTCTTCTGGAGACTGTGCCTTTAACCTGTGAGGTCTGCGCTAACTCTGGGTGGTTACCATCAGAATTGAACATTGCAGTATTGCAAGAGCATATCCTTCAAGTGTAAGATTTAACGCTATTAACACATTTTGATAGATCTAAATTGTTGGTGCCATAGAGAATTCTAATCTCAGGAATAATTAGAAGCCAATCATTCACTTATAGTTTAAACTCAATGGCTCGTTCTTCAGTCACAAGTGATAATGTTAGCAAAGCAGGTGCCAAATGTTAGATTGAGAAGACAAAGTCAAATCGAAAATTATCTCTTTCTTAAAGCAAAACAGAAAACTAACATTTATTCCCCCTTGAAAACCTCTTGTCATAAGTCTACACAAAGAAACAGAACCAGTGAGGGTTTGTCCTTCAGGCTCCAGCAATACATATTATCATTTATTTTCACTCAACTTTAAATCTTTGCCCTTCCCATCACTCCCACCCTATCTCTTCCCCTTGATATGGTAGGCCTCCCACATGAGTTTCCACTCCTAACACTATCTGAGCTCTAATTATTTCTCAAGTCCAATAAACTGCCTGGCCTTAATCAATGAGGGCTTTCCTTCTCTCATATCATTTACTATCAGATTGTTAAATTATTTTCACTGTCTCGCTGAAAACCTTCAAATCTCCCATGTCTGCTCTGTCCTTGTTCTGCAGAGTCCTAAAACACACAAGATTAATATCACATTAAAACTTGATATCAACGCCAGAAAAAGTAAAAAATAAGGCCAGAATATAAAATATTTGCCCTTTGTTATGCAAATCCAAGTTTTCCTAAATCCCAAATATTACAGCTCCAGACGAAAACTATTTAATAAAGTTGGACTGATTGATTTTGACAGCGGTACTCCCATTTTCCAAAAAAAGTACCACCTTAGTATCGTTTCCAAGTTAACTTTTATTTGTATTTCTAAATGAATTTAGTCATGTATTCAAGAATACATACAACACATACATAGGGCTTAAAGAATAAAAAACACATAGTGCCCAATCACCCAGATGAAGAATTAACACAATACCAATATTTTTGAAGCTCCTGCATCCCCCTTCCCAATTTCATTCTCTGATCTTCCCCTTAGAGGTGATCACTGTCCTTGCAGTAACTTCTGGGAGTCACTTTTAATTCCAGATGTTCCTTTGTTCCCATTTCTTGAAAAGACTTCCCCTTTTTCCATTGAATCACCTTTGCATCTTAGCTGAAATCAACTGACCGTGTATATGTGAGCCTATTTCTGGACTCTGTATTCTATTGCCTTGACCTATGTGTTTATCCTTTCTCAATTAACTGGGACCACAAACCAAATGACTTCGATTTGGTGCCTGTGATCAGTGATTTTCTTCATTAACTGGGATTTGAGACAGTGATCAGCATCCTATAAATAGAATATGGGACTAAGAATCAATAGAAATTAATTCTAGTGCCAGTCCTATCATCAATGAACTTAAGTCACATACCTCTATGTGTCTTGGGAATAATGATACCTACCCACATGGGATTATTGAAGGTCAAGGGAGAAAACAGAGAGAAAAATGCCTTGAATGGGCTACACAAATAAAATATTTTTTCTAATTTTTCATTTAGTAGTCTAATTTAAGTACTCATGAGTATCAGTTTCCATCCTTTTCTCCACAACTGAATACTGCAATTTGGACTTAGGACTTTACCAATAACAAATAGCCCATCAAATCTGTATAAATTTGGTCTTGATATGCATCCCTAATCAGTCATTATAGGAGTGAAGCAGCTGTAGTCAAAATTTCCCCTCATTGTCCCCTGGGAATTTAGGCATTTTCATAATCACTTTCACGTGGATATTTTGCCTTCTTCTCCTCCCTCAATCTATGGGGTAAGTATTGAAATGCTAAACAAAGATCATCTTAAGAGTTACAGCACAGTAGTGAAGAAAAAAGAAAGGCAGAGTGGTGAGTTTGTTTTCTACTGGTAATTTTAGGAAATAATTGTGACATTAGAAATGATAAATAATTCAAGAATCCAGTTGTCCTCTCTCCAACCTTACCTTTAAAAAAAAAATGGGGACAAGAACACTTAGTCAATTCAAATGAAGTCTGTGTAATGTCAGTTTCACTGCCTATAGCCAGCCAAATTGACTGGGAAATATCACTGTTAATTCTGCTGTACTTCTAGAGTGGTAAACGGAAAGACCCAACCACCACACCCACACCCTGGGTTTGTCACCATACTCTTCCCATGGTGACTAGCTACTTCCTATTCTTATTTCTTTTTCTCTTATTTTCTTTCACAGCTTTTCTAATTCTAATTTAATAATCAAACTGTGTAAAAGAATTCAAATAATTGCAAAGAGTTTTCCAATTAAATGGTTTCTCCTCTTCTGAATTATACAGAAACATCTAGGTTAATTTTTGCCTTGAGCTATAATCTATCAAAAGTTTTACTCAGAAGACTTTCATTAAAAACAAATTAACAGGGCCGGCCCCGTGGCTTAGCAGTTGAGTGCGCGCACTCCGCTACTGGCGGCCCGGGTTCGGATCCTGGGCGCGCACCGACATACCGCTTCTCCGGCCATGCTGAGGCCTCATCCCACGTACAGCAACTAGAAGGATGTGCGACTATGACATACAACTATCTACTGGGGCTTTGGAGAAAAAAAGGAGGAGGATTGGCAATAGATGTTAGCTTGGAGCCGGTCTTCCTCAGCAAAACGAGGAGGATTAGCATGGATGTTAGCTCAGGGCTGATCTTCCTCACACACACACAAATATATATATATATAACAAAAAAAAACAAATTAACAATCATAATAAATATCATATCCTCATTATCTGAATATTCTTTTTTTTTTTTTTAGTGAGGAGATCAGCCCTGTGCTAACATCTGCCAGTCCTCCTCTTTCTTTTGCTGAGGAAGACTGGCCCTGGGCTAACATCTGTGCCCGTCTTCCTCTACTTTATATGGGACGCTGCCACAGCATGGCTTGCCAAGCAGTGCGTCAGTGCGCACCCGGGATCCGAACCGGCGAACCCTGCGCTGCCACAGCAGAGCACGTGCACTTAACTGCTTGTGCCACCGGGCCGGCCCCCTCTGAATATTATTCTTAAAAGAGCATTTGAAATGAAAATAATTAAATTCCAGGCACCCTTTAAAGTAAGTGCAAGCAAAATGTCACCATTGTAATTTTCTGGGTTATGGTAGCCTGGAGTTATAATTAGTTTTGATTCATATATTTCAAATCTCTGCATCCTACTGATAGTATTTCAAGCTTCATCACCAACTTGCCACTTAAAAATAGCATATATTTTTACAATAACAAATACTGATATAATAAGGCTGATTGTGTTCTTTTGAATTATATTTTTACATCCATTCAGTATAGAATAACTTTAATAATACTACATGGGTTAAAGTAACTGGAGACTTGAGTTTCTGAGAACACAGTGGACAATCTCCCTTAAAAGACATAAAATCTCCCTTTAAAGACATTTGGATAAAGAAACGTTGGATAAATATAATACATACCCTTTTAAATAAATAGCTAAGCTCAGTAAAAAGCAAGGAGGCGAAAAACTAAGAGAGCTGAAAATCCGTGGACTTTTAATGATCACACAATACAGAAGGCAAAGCCCTAGGTCCATACAAGGCAGGAAGGGAAGTGAGACTCCTGGATAAAGCTGCAACCTTCAGAGCTCTTTCTCCTCAGCAAAAGGGTGAATAAGCCAAAAATCTGCATTCCATAACAAAGATCACATGAGATCTCAATCTCAAATTATAAAACACAGGAAGAAAAAAGCCTCTGTGATGGTTAATTTTATGTGCCAACTGGACTGGGCTAAGGGATGCTCAGATAGCTGGTAAAACATTATTTCTGGGTGTGACTGTGATGGTGTTTCTGAAAGAGATTAGCATTTGAATCAGTAGACTGAGTAAAAATGATCTGCCCTCAACAATGTGGGTGGGCATCATCCAATCCATTGAGAGCCCAATAGTATGAAAAAGAGCAGGAAGGGTGAATTCTCTCTCTCTTCTTGAGCTAGGGCGCCCATCTTCTCCTGCTCTTGGACATGGGAGCTCCTGGTTCTCAAGCCTTCTGCCTTGGATTGGGAGTTATACCACTGGCTCCTCTGGTTCTCGGGTCTTTAGACTCTGGACTGAATTATATCACTGGCTTTCCTGGTTTTTCAGCTTGCAGATGGCAGATCATGGGACTTCTAGGTCTCCATAACTGTGTGATCCAATTCCTATAATAAATCTCCTCTTACCTATGTATCTATATATTATCCTATTGGTTTGGTTTTTCTAGAGAACACTGACTAATACAGAGTCACCATGAGTAAAAGTAAGCAGAAACAAACTGCAGAATTTACACCTTCAAGAACTTCACAAAGGGGCCGGCCCAGTGGTGCAAGCTGTTAAGTGTGCACGCTCTGCTGCGGCAGCCCGGAGTTCGCCAGTTCACATCCCAGGTGCGCACCGACGCACCACTTGGCAAGCCATGCTGTGGCGGCGTCCCATATAAAGTGGAGGAAGATGGGCATGGATGTTAGCCCAGGGCCAGTCTTCCTCAGCAAAAAGAGGAGGATTGGCAGATGTTAGCTCAGGGCTGATCCTCCTCACAAAAAAAAAAAAACAAAAACTTCACAAACTAGAATCATAAGATACAGAATGAAGAACAACATAACATTTTAAATGACTAGAACTGAAAAAGAGCCAAGGGCCGGCCCCGTAGCTTAGCGGTTAAGTGCACGCGCTCCGCTGCTGGCGGCCTGGGTTCTGATCCCAGGCGTGCACCGACGCACTGCTTCTCTGGCCATGCTGAGGCCGCGTCCCACATACAGCAACTAGAAGGATGTGCAGCTATGACATACAACTATCTACTGGGGCTTTGGGGGGAAAAATAAATAAATAAAATCTTTAAAAAAAAAAAAAAAAAAAACAGCCAAAAAGAATTTCTAGGAATAAAAATATAATCACTAAATTCAAGTGGCTACTCTTATTTCAAAGAAAAATGCTAAAAATGCTGACATTGATAACAGAATTAATACAAAAGAGATTCTTAAGTTAATTTGTGTATAGAAAATTCTAGCAAGCATGCAGGCCAAATCCTTTACCCAAAAATATTTGGAGTAATTAATGCAGCAACATTGCTTTAAGAAATATAGTCCTGTGCTCTAGAACTTGATAATTTGATTTTACTATAAGAAAAGCTGTCTTGTTCATTCATTCCAATCATTTAAGAAATATTTATGAGCACCTTCTATGTACTAGGAAGATAAAAATAAAATTAAGGATGATTTAATATCTCTCAGTATGAAAATGAAAGGTAATACTTGGTTTATGGTTGTAAAAGAATTTTATTTTTATGCTAAGCTTCAAACAGACTAAATGACCAAGAAATACGCCAAGATTGTGGAGACTTGCATTATTAGGTTTAGTAAAGAATGTATGATTGGCAATCAGAATACTTTCATTACTACATTTAGTAAAGAATGTATGACTGGCAATCAGAATACTTTTGCAGCTAATATACTACGTCTCAGTTTCTCACGTGTTAAATGCAGACTTTGCTTGCTCTATTAACTTCATAGAGAGATTGTGAGGATAACACAAAAATAGATGTGAATAGGCTTTAAATGTGCTATACAGATAGAAGGTATTGGTAAAATAATGTTTTAAAAAGAAAAGAAAAAAAGACTTATTCATGTGATTTGTCCTATATTGGTTGATCCATCTAATATTACGTTTTAAAAGAAAATCTTAAAGGACACCATTGGGAGACAATTCTCCACAAGTCTCTCACATTTCCGGATGTTTTATGAGCTGAAGCACTGACTGCCTTTGTTCCAGACCATCTTTTCAAAAAAATGTTAGTACAGCAAGCAGCTCTGGAGACAGTCACCCTTTGGAGCAGAGGGCAGGTAAGATAATATCTCCGCCCAGGGCTTAGTGTTCCTCTCCTATAACATATGCAACCACATGTGCAGGTGTCACCTGACCCTCTGTGCATCACTCTGATAGAAGAAGGGCTTGGGCAAATGGCACAAATGCTGATGCTCTGGTTACTACTGCTACTACCATGAGTAATAAAGTCAGTTGTTTTTGACCCAGGAATCTGCCGGCATCCATAAACTGTGGCAAACTAACTTGTTAGCTTGCAAGTAAGGTAAAATCTCAGACTCTTCACCATTCTTGAGAGACAAGAACCACAGCAATTCATCTTTATTCTTCAGTCAGCACAGCACTCTAAGTAAACGGGGACACATTGTTTTGAGTTCACTAACTCTGTAACAACCCAATGTTGTTGTCACAGCAAACAATTTATTCAAATGCCTGTATTCTGCTCCAAGATGGTCTTCAGTGACCTTCCAACTCAATATTATGACCTATCAGAGCTCTGCAGCAGGGCCAATCCCACACTCACTATTTCATCATGAATAGAAAATATTTAGGATTTAAATTCCTCATCCCTGGCTTTCCTTCATTCTTTTGAAGGAAATGTTTTTATAATGTTAGATGCAACTAATGTTAGTATTTGAAACAATCTTTTGAGTCCAGAGAATTTGAGTTGTAAGAGTAAAAAAGAAAAAAAAAACCCAGCACAATGAAAAGCAAAGTGTAAAGAATCACATAAAGGTGAAATTTGTCAGGTTCTAAAACATTTTAGTAGCTAGATTTTTCCTCATAAACAGATGCCACCAGGCACAAGAAGATGTAGAGATCTCTACAAGTGCTACTGGAAAAACAACTCAAAGTACAGATCTCAATTAGAGTAAGTTGATTATCCAGGGATGGTCCAGGTGTGATGTCTTCAATAGTTTCATCTTTACTCAACAACAGCTGGTTAAACACGTGTGCCTTTGTTGCTTGTTGCTCTATGTCTTGTAAATTGAGTACAGTTGGTAGGCAATGTATTATTTTACTAGTAGGTAAAGATGATACAACAGTACAAGTAGTAGATGTATTATTAGCAGCACCCCACCAGGGTAATGTTTGAAGACCTTAACAAGTCTCATAAATTCATAGGCTTCATAGGATCAGAAAAATCTAAAAATAAACTGCAATATCTTTCTGTTGACCCTCGATGAGATTCAAGCAATTTAAGTCTAAAAACTGAGTTAGTTATATAGAGATAAATTTTACTGATATTAATAGTGTCCAAATGTGTGTTTGAAAAGGTGAGACTAAGCACAAAGCACATTGTTCTACTTTCTTCCTTGTTCAAGGAGTGGTCTCCATTTTCCATTAAGTCCTACTCTTTATTTTTCATTGAGCTATGTTACTTTTCTATTCTCACAACTCAAAGTCTATGGACTCAAAAAAGATGTTCTGAATACTAACATTAGTTGCATATAACATTTAAAAAACACATCCCATAATACTAAGTTTAGGCAAAGCCATATAAGGATATTGATAAAACTTAAAATATAAATGAACAGAGACATTTGTTGCTCATGTTTCTGAAGGAAATAAAAAGTTAAATTAATCTTGGAGTCATAGAAAAACACCTGGTCAATGCAAGAGCTGGACTATAAGTCTCTTGACAGCCCACTAACTCTCAGGTTTTTCTCCTATATCATGTTGCCTTCTTATTTAGAATTTTTAATAATGGCTATAGAGTATCAATAAGACTATGGCCCTGGTGTCTAGAATGGCCAAAGAGAAGAATCCTAAGTCACTGCTTGGAGGCCTTTTTCCCCATGCTCTTTTCCAAAAACAGCTTTAGGTGGCTTTTTTCCCCTTAAAAGCAAACAAAAATGTTCTACTTTCACTAATGGTGGAGTGGCTTGTATTTAACCTAAAATGCCACAGAAGAGAATTATAAAAACTGGACAAAACAAAACAACAAGAACAAAAACTATCTGAAGGCAATGAAAAACAACAGCAAGCAGAAATTTCTGGAGAGTCCACATCTAGGAACGGCACTGGCTGAGAGAGTTTGTTGCCCCTCCGCCCTCTTTTTACATTTTAAACAGCTTTTCATTGAAGGTAGGCTTCAGTGAGTGCTGGGTTGGCAGCTAAAACTCAGAAATCAGCAGTCTTTCTGGCTTGAGGAAGCAAGAGGACAGAGTTTGAGGCTACCATAACATCCAGAAATTGAGGAAAAATCCTTAAAAAAAAAAAAAAAAACAGACAGCCACAAAGAAGAAACTCCACATTCTGCATATAAACTCTACTGATATATCTGACTGACAAGTAAATTCTGCATGCATGGGACAGATTCTAAGCAGCCCAGATAAAGCTAAAAGATCTGAACAGAAGTTTCAGCTGCTACCCACTGCAGGGGACAGAGTTTGGTGTTGGACTCAGCCAAGTTAATTGCCTGGGAACACAAACAAACAAAAAATCAACATTCCTCAGAAGATCATAATAGAATCCACAGTATCTACAATGCATTATTCATAATGTCCATTATATAAAATTATTAGACATATGAAGAAACAGAAAAATGTAACACATACTCAAAAGAAAGGATAAAAGATAGAGATTAAACTTGAAAGGACCCAGTTGTTGGAATTAGCAGACATAACTGCAATGATACTTATGTTTAAAGATGTAAAGAAAAAAATGTTTGAAATGAATGTACAGCTAGGAAATCTCAGCAGAGAAACAGAAATTATAAAACAATGAAATTGAAAGTCTAAAAGTAAAAAATATAATATCTGAAGTAAAAAAAAATCAATAAACGGGCATAACAGGCAATGACAGAAGAGTCAGTGAACTTGAAGACAGACTGACAGAAATTATTCAGTTTGAAGAACAGAGAAAAGAAAGACTGGAAAAAAGCAGGGGAGAAAAAAGAACAGAGACTGAGGACTAGGTGGACAATATTAAAAGATTTAACATATGTGTAAGTGGACTTCCACAAGAAAAAGAGGGGGGAAAATGAGGCAGAAAAAGTACTTGAAAAAATAATAGCCAAAAGTTTCCCAAATTTGGTAGAAGACACAAATGTACAAATTCAAAATGAACAAAAAAATTCCAAAGAGGATAAACACAAAGAAATCCACACCTACACACATCATATTCAAACTGCTAAAAGGCAAACAGAAAATCTTGAAAGCAGCTGATGAAAAATGGCACATTACATACAGAATAATACATATGACAACTGATGTTACATTGCAAACAATGGAAACCTGAAAACAGTGGAACAATATATGTAAAGTCCTGAAAGAAAAACACAAAATTTCATATTCAGCAAAAAATATCCATTAATAAAGATGAAATAAAGATATTTTCAGATAAATGAAAACCAAGCAAAACCACTGCCAACATACCTGCACAACAACAAATGCCATAGGAAATTCTTCAAACCGATGAAAAATAAAACCAGATAGAGAAACAGATCTTCAAAAAGAAGTGAAGAGCAGTAGAAGTGGTAAAACTATAGTTAGATATATAAGACTATGTTTTATTCTCTCTTAATTTCTTAGAAATACATATGACTACTGAAAGCAAAAGTTATAATATTGAAATATAGGGTTTATCACATATGAAGATAAAAAGCTATAATAACTATTGCATAAAGGATGGGACATAAACAGAATTCTATAGCTGTAAGAGTCTTATATTTTACATAAAATGGTATAGGTTTAATTTTAAGTATACTGTGAAAAGTTAAGGATGTATAATGTGATCTCTAGTGTAATCCTATAAAGAGATATAGCTAAAAAGCCAATAGAAAGATTAAAATAGAATTCTCAAAAGAAATTTGTCAAGTCAAAAGAAATCAGAAAGGATAAACAGGAATTAAAAAAAAAAACCCTAGATGAGCAAAAAAGCAAAACAGACTAAATCCAACCGTATCAATCCTTACAGTAAACATAATGAATGAAGTACTTCAAAAGCAAGACTAAACTACATGCTATCTACAATAGATGCATTTCAAATATGAAGACAGGTTTAAAGTTAATGCTTAAAAAAAGATATATGACATAAACATATATGTAAGCATATGAAGGCTGGAGTGGCTACATTATTACCACAAAAAAAATAGACTCCAAGAGAGAGTATTACCAGAGATAAAGAGCGGCATATCACAATGATAAAATGGACAATTCATCAGAAAGGTATAATCATAAATTTGTATGTGTCTGATATAGAGCTTCAACCTATAAGAAGAAAACTTGAGAGAATTAAAGGGAGAAATAAATTTTAAAAAATCTCCAACTATGATTGTGGACTTAACACCTTTCTAATGGTAATCAAAATAATGACTAGACAAAGAAATCAGTATGGACATAGATAATGTGAACGAGGCTATTAACCTACCTAACCTAATTGACATTTGTAAAATACTACACCCAACAACTCCAGATAACATATTCAAGTGTGCATGGTCTATTCAACAATAGAGATCAAAGGCAAGTCAGAATATTAGTCTCAATAAATCTCAAAAGATTTATTGAAAACTTACATAGAATATGTTCTCTGAACACAATCAAATTAAATCGGTAAGTATTAATAAGATGCCTAGAAGAATCTCAAGTATTTGGCAATTCAACACAATATTTTTTTATTTTTATTTTTTTTGTGAGGAGATCAGCCCTGAGCTAACACCTGCCAATCCTCCTCTTTTTGCTGAGGAAGACTGGCCCTGGGCTAACATCCGTGCCCATCTTCCTCTGCTTTATATGGGATGCCGCCACAGCATGGCTTGACAAGCAGTGCATCTGTGCTCGCCTGGGATCCAAACCGGTGAACCCCGGGCCACCGCAGCAGAGCGTGTGCACTTAACCGCTAGCGCCACCCGGCCGGCCCCCCAACACAATATTTTTAAATAAACCATGGGTCAAAAAGAAATCACAAGGTTAATGAGAAAGTATTTTGAACTGA